AACCGCATCGAAATCGGTCAACCCATTTGAAAGTTACAAAGTCATAAACACACATAAACTGCAACGTCTAACTTATAACACCCTTCTTTTTGCGTCGTGGGTTAAGAAGTTATGTTTGATAAATATAGTTATGAAGGTAAGCTCCAGAAAATATAAGCTACTTTAAGTAACCTAAATGATATCTTGGATGAATATACCAAAGACAAGTCACATTAAGTCAGTGTAGATTATACAACCATTTACCAGTTTAACTATAATTTCATGTTATTTCATATTTTTAAAACGTAGTGTTTAATAAGAACTAATTAAAAAAAAAGTCGCAGTCACTAATGTTTTTTAAGGTTACATGTATGGCGATTTTTAAATCAATAATGAGATGAACATATTAAAGAAGCAACGATTATAAAACAAATATACATACATATATATGTTTTAAAAAAATAATTTCACTAGGATAAAAACTTGCAATATTAATAGGACATAATATTATATATATACACAGACTAAGAATTATAAGTATAATGACATAATAATGTACTTGGAGTAACAAGTTATGTGTATTCAAGAGATCTTATTACACTGTTCATTAGACTGAATCGAATTAAAATCTTTTCCGTTCCCAAGAAAACTATTTATGTATAAGGAAAACGTAATACAAAATTATTAATTAATAATATTTTTTTAACATTTTGGATAAATGTTTATTTAAAGTAATCTTTTCTAAATCAATGAATTATCAATACATTGAAATTGCATTAGTTATGACAGATACAATACTGACCGAAAGTATTAGGCATCCCATTAAAATGCACAATACATGTCTACTTTTTGAATAATGAGTAAACTCTTATCTTAAATGAGTTTCCGGGTTCATAAATCGTTGCCAAGTAAGCAGACTATTATACTCATAAAACACTTGGTGAAAACAAAGGATCAAACTTTTTGCGGTCTTATCAGTTAATGTTTGGTCACTTGTATTTGGAAAACTAATGAGTGAATAATCTCTTACTTCTCCTTATCTTTTATATCTTGTAAAACGTAGACTTAAATAACGTGTGTTAACCACTAGCAATTACCGTTTACATACGCAGCGATCCCAGCTCTTCATCAAGAAATCTACTTACAAAGTATATTTCTTTTTAATGAGGAACGGGAAACGCATATTTTTTTATTCCACCAGGAGTTCATGATATGCAATCATTATATAATTACTGTATGTTGATAAGACAAACGCTATCAGTACGCACCTCATGCTGGAGCGAGGTTATCACTTCCACTCGTATAACTAACGCGACTTAAGCCAGTTTTAGTCTGACCATACATACTCTGAACAAATTGAATCATGAAAATCACATGAATGTTTTTAATCTCACGTGGTTTTATCAGCTGATGGAGCGCGCCTGGCATACTTCCAGTCCGTTACCTATTAGTAATGTCATAAATATTCACAAAATCCGTTTAAAAATAATAGAACCGCAACCTATTTCCTCTATTAATAAAGGCAATGTTTTCAGAACTCGCCATTCCTGGTTAGTATACATACATTATATAAACATATAAGTATGCTTATATAAGAATTACTGATTCCATATAAGTAAAGTATTTTAATTGTAATAAAAAAATATATTTTTTTAAATTGTAAATACAGTAGTAGAGTAATCTTAAACGTATCCGCGAAATGTTATCATTAAAAAATAAACAATGACAACCTCGAGTAATTAAACTCACGCAACAGATAAAAAAATATTTATGAAACAGTAGATTATAGATAATATTCACCTAAATACATATTAAATACAAAATAAATTATAACTTAATACTGAAGACTTTATTAATATTTAGTACCTTTGAAAGACATAGGAACAATTTAATTTTGCAGTATTTAGACTTTGTACAATCATTAAATTTTAGAGTGGGACCTAAATAACATATTATAATACATATATTATGTACAAGTTGTACCTAGAACAATGGCTCAATAATAATAAAAAACCTTGGTAATGAAGAATTCACAAATTGATCTTAATGATTAAATCATGTGTGTGCCAGTTTAATTGTAAAGTTAGAGTGGATTCGAAGTGGTCCAATGAGAGTGTCATCAATTTACCAGCATGTTGTTAATATATGCCAAGCGACTTTGAACCATATTTCCAGTCAAGAAAGTTCCAGTTTGATATTAGAGTTATTACAGCGAAAACGTGCATTTCCAAAATTAAAATACTTATATTATGAATAACCTGTTTTTAAGTCTACTTTCCACAAACGAATTTAAACTAATTGAAACACATTATAAGGTTTTTTTTTGTTTTTTACTTAGAGAAATAGAAAGGTGATATGATATTCTGCGTAGTGGTATTTTGTATGATTTTAAAATGCTCCAGAATATTTAGAAATCTGGTAAAAAATAGAAATACGTCTCAAATTTTGTACGAACCAAATCATTACAATTTGGAAGTTTTAAGGAACATCTATTTCATTACTTTTGTATCGGATCTCATCATCTATTTCATATCGATGATAAAACATACTGTTATGTACAAACATAGTCAAAAACAGTCCTTTTAGCGCTTTGGTAAAAGCTTGAGGGGAAAAAAATTAACGACTAGTCAGCACGGATAAATAATAATTTGATACGTTAGATTATTTTATTTCGGACCTTAAAAAATATCCTCGTAAAACCAAAGTTCATTGACACATTTAAGCGAGATTTGATTAGTTCAAATAAGGTAGATAATCATTATAAGACATAAAGACGAGATTTAATAGATATATATCATGATATACAAGAGCAAATATTTTTTACCGTACTAAATACTAATGAGAAAGAATTAAATAATGCTTCTTTTGAAGGTACCGTGAATACCGCTGGTAAATAATTACCACGAAATTCATTTACTGTAATATTATTGATGACTAAAACCAATCACAACTTGTTTTTTTCGTAAAACGAATATTGTAAATAACAACTAATATGTTCGGATGTCATAAGTGTATTTTTTAAATTTTAAACATACTCCCGACGCTTCGATTACTTTGCAGCAACCGTGCATACATACATGGACAGACGAGGTGACAAGGCTGTTAGTTCATCTTATTATTTGTCATCCGATGACAAAAAAAATGATACGTAATCTTTATTGCTAAAGAATTATACTTACGTAAATACTTTTACAAATAGTCAAATTTTTTTAATTAAATTTCAATATTCAAAAGTAGTAATTTTCACACTCCGTCGCAAGATTCTAAAACGCTACACTATTGGCGGATCAAAATTCGACGTCACTATTAATCATATTGTAACGGAGGCTGGGTGTATGAATATGTATTGCATGTTTCTTTATCATCCTGATACTGAAAGCTTTATAAATGTAATATAATAATATACTAAATAATACAAAAGGTATATAACAAAATAAAATAGTTATAATGGAAAATAATCTAGGAAAATTAATAAAAAAAGAACGTATGCAAAAGTTAGTTGAATGTATGTGGTATAATAATAATGTTTTGTTTAGGCATTATATTTTATGATGTAATCATTATATTGATTTAAAAGCCTGATTTCATAGATAGAGCGATGATCCATAGTTTACCAGTTTTATAGAAAAATGACTAAATGAAAGCAAATGAGAAATAAACTCATCATTACCGAAGACTAGTAATGCTTCAAGCAGACCAGAAAGCTACCAGTTTGCTCTAAATTTTTGATTGGTATGGATGGATGGAGTAACTGAAGATTATTTTATGGAAGTAAATGTCTATTTGAAGAAGCAATGAATCGATATAGCAATAAAGAAAACAAAGTTTCTTTAAATGACAAGGCACAGAGTCAACGGCAAATGCATTTTTACAGTTTTGTTTTGTTTCAAGAGACAAAGTTCTAAAAACATTATTATTATTGAAGAATATTGTTTTGTTCTTCCATTAAAATAAGATGATAATACTACTATGATAAGTAACAAAAAATCGGAAATCTGTGAAACAGACGGTTCATTGTTATTATTCCGATAGTACGTTGACGTCATAAAATAAGCGCTCGTAATTAACAGCTTTTATATCGCCCGAAAATAATACTACTGAAAATTATTTATTTTAAGTTTATGTAATATAATTGTGCAAGTGTTTTATTTTTTCGGTTGCATAAATACTCACTTGATTAAAAAATCCTGCATATTCCATATTTAGTATTCGTGTGAACTGTTTTACTATAAGTAATTATGTATTAAATTATTTCTTTAAAAAAAGAAATCAAAAGGCATAATTTTAATAATTGTTTATCTACTTGGTAATTTAAATAAAACTTTGGATTTCAAATACTTTCAGTAATCACATGGACTTAGGTTAAAATTGGAAATATAAGGAAAAAAGTATCATTAAACGAGAATTCTCAGAGTTTTTTTAATAAAGTAGAGTGAAGATAATTCTTTTATCAAATCTTGAGAGCAAAATCGATTGTTTCCACCTGAGATAGTCTCTCAATTTATAGAGATTTAAACGCATATCAGTTACATTTCAATTCAATAAAAATCCTTTATCGACATTTGAAAGAAACGTGATAAATTTTGTAAATACAAAGTCATTGAATCTTAAGATATAGAAGCAATATAGAACTTCAAAGAGATCTACAATTCTATTATATTGGGTTTTAAAATATTTGAAATGTATTCTGATTAAAATACAGTTATTGAGGAACAAAGGTTTAATATATCAAACGAGTATGTTGACCTTTAATCCGTTTTCAAAGAGACTTGTTCTGTCCCTTATCATTAATATTATCCTATTGATATACCTAACAGATATACATTCGACATTTGAGGTCAGCTTTCGAACAAATACAAATTATTATTATATTAAATATATATTGTTTTGAACATATTTAATAACAAAACAATATTTTTAAAACAAAAATTATGACAAAAAGCACCGTCTGTTACGATAAGGATGAATTTAATACAGACATTGTTCTTTTTTGTAATTATGATTTATCTTATAGCAAAGACTTACATGAAATCTTCTAAATCTACCACGTTTGTGTATTGACATGGTTGGCCATCTACATTGAAACAGGCGTTGTTATAGTCCCAGTCTACATTCTGGTGGCATGGCAATGGAGCTTGGAAGGCGGGCTGAGTGTACATCACTCTATCATCACTGAACTCCTGCGGTACATGTTGCCCAGTTCCGAAGCACTGCACTGTTGAGCCATACGCCCCATCGTATGCGTTATAATCACATTTATTCACTAATGGGACTGACCATTGACCTGACATAGGGCACTGCATGTTCCAAACTGCTTCTTCGTAGTTACCAACCACGGGACAACTCCCGGGAATAGTTCCATAATTAAGAAACATCTCCCTGGAGACTTATTATAGTACAAGTAATAATGGAACATCCATCTGACTACATATTCCATGAACGACTGATAGAATATATACATAGAACTTATCACACACGTTCTGTCGCAAAGTAGCAAAAATTGATATGGCAGTGATAAGACGACTTTAGATTAATTTGTAACAAATTATAGGACGAAAAGACTTGTTTCGGTTTCCACCGTTAGAATAAAGGCTATTGTTTGATATCTTGAAATATTTTTATAATGCTTTTACCCAGCAACAGATTTTTTGGCAATAGAACGTCTGAAATACGACTACATTGGTTTAACATTTACTTAGATTTATACTTCATAGTTCATACCAAGTTTATTGTTTCTTACACCCTATTATATTAAAGTGTAATACAAATATATACTCAAACATATATAAAAAAATATTTATGTACATAGTATATTGTTTGTGACAAACTGTAAACCTTCTAAGCTTTAAGGTTTTAGAACTACATACGTGGAGTAAAATGTATAAAATTTTAGTTAAATTTTTCCGACTTAAGAAAGTTTGCGTATTTTTAAAATGCGAGTATATTCGTCATTTATGAGCAAATTTCTTAAAGGTTATTTTTTATAAGATATAAATGTTTGCTAATATGCCGATTTTCCGTATTAAATATATATTTTTTCAATACAATAAAGGCTATTTCTGTGGAAAGGTAGCTTTAAGCCATGGAAATCTTTCTGATTAAAGAAAATGACAAACAATACAATACTTATCCTGACACGCAAACAACGAGTGGCGTCGACGATCGTTACCAGATCACGCGCATCTATATCGAATGAGAAAAATTGAATTAAGATCTGTATCCGCGGCCTTAGCAACATATATCTCTGTTTGGTTCAATATCTATAAATTATGTTTAATTTCTTTGAATATTTATGTAAGCTTTGAAAAGAAAGTTGTCAATACCTTTTAATCATACTTATTACTTAAATAAAACTAATATTTTCAGATTTAATGTGCGTTTTTTTATTATTTAAAGCTACATACTCTTGACGTTTTACTTTGCAGCAACGGTTGCTATACGAAACGAACGAAATATTCGTTTTATTTATGAAACGGAAAAAATAGTTTTATATAAATTAACAATCAGGAAAGTTATATGTATGCTTGCTCATCATACTTGTTTTTAAAAAAAAATCAAAACTATATCACTGTTCAGTTTGTAATAGTTATTGATACATCTAAATAAATTGCTGAAATGTTTTAATAAGTTTTCTAAGTGTTATAACGGTCATCAATAATATTCTTAGATTCAAGTTAATTTGTTCAAGAAATTACGGAAAAGGGGCAATTAATCATCAGAATATTATTTAATATTTTCTAATGATTACACTATTTTTCGTAAGGGCTGGAAAGCAAATGAAAAAGAATAAAAAGGATCTAAGCGCACGGTAGTGCGCCGGCCAAGTTCCACAGGCCGGCGCATGCCGTGCACTATATTTACACGAACCGTTTCGACCCACTTTTGACCCCCCTGTAGCTCAGTGCCTATTGCAAGTACAGAGATAAAATTTTATCTAGGTAATCATATACTAGAACTAAAGCAGTATGCCAAATTTCATAGATAAAGCTTCAGTAGATCCTGAAATATGACCCTGTGAAAATAGCTAATTTTGGCACTGACTCACTGACAGGTAATCAAAACCTCTAGGCCACTTCCCATTGTTTTAGCATTATGAAATTTGGTACACAGGTTGTGTGTTATATGTAGATTAACAAAAAATTAAGAAATTTAAGAAATCGGTCAAGCGTGAGTTGCCTCAATTCTAAATATCGAATTTTTAATAAATTCGATCCACTTTTGACCCCCTGTAGCTCAGTGTCTATTGCAAGTACAGAGATAAAATTGTACCTACGTAATAATATACTAGTCCTAAAGCAGTATGCCAAATTTCATAGATAAAGCTTCAGTAGATCCTGAAATATGACCCTGTGAAAATAGCTAATTTTGGCACTGACTCACTGAGAGGTAATCAAAACCTTTATATAGGCGCTCAGCTCAGCACAATAAAATACATAATAATGAAATATTAATAATTAATAATATGAGTACATCTACCAATCGGTGATAAATGAAACTAAAAAATAAAAAAAATATAGTTTAAAAAAAACTAAAAAACACGCTCCAATGATGAAAGAAACCGCGTGGAAACTAATTTAACCTTTACAACCTTGGAAATCAATTTAATTTAAATTGTTTAAAATAAACAATAAATGGTATTATTGAACAAAAAGCGTGCGGCGCTTCTCAAGAAGTGATATATGAAGCTCCCTACGCTTTTTTTCACAAAAATACCATTTATTGTTTGTTAATTTATTTTTAAATTAATATTATTGTGAAAAAAGGGGGGGTTCGCTTCTTAAGAACTGATATATATATAAGGGATATAAAATATTGTCATGTATACATAATGCACACTGTATAACTTAATTAAATATTGCTTACCTAAAAAATCAGGTTTCTATTGTTATAAATTACTTTCGATAGATGGCGCTAGCGGTATAATTGAATCGCGATATTGTTTTGTCTGCAGTATATATGAATGAAAGTCGATAAGGAATCGATGGTCATTTCTTTCTATTTCTTTCTACACCTACGTCTTGATATCTTATATATGGTTACGCTTACGATTAAATGGATCACTGATTTGACTTGCTAAGGGATTAATTTTGATATTGCTTATTGATTGATTACTTGTGTGTGTTAAAAGCACAAATTCACTCTATTTCTTTTCTACTATTCATTTACCAACGATGGAAATTGTACATCTTTCGGTGGTTGGCGGAGATATACCACATAGGGTAATTCCTATGCCATCAGATGGTAGCTGTATGTTTCATGCTGTAAGTTATGCATTGTACGGCTGTATAGTACGATTATATGTACGATTTCTTGAAAAAAAGTATTGAAATCTCACCAAAAACATGCCTGTTAAAAAGGGGGCCAAGTTCCAATCGGCTAATTGTTTGCCTAAAAAAGGGGTGAAATCCAATCTAATGCCAAGTTTAGATGCACTTTGAAATCGATCATAATCATCTTCATCAACAGCATGATCCACTGGTAAACATTTGCCATTCCCAAGACTCGCCACCACACCCAGTCCTCTGCCTTCCACATCCAGCCACTACCCGCCACCTTATTCACGTCAACGGTCCATCTGACCGAAATTCACTTTACCATACACCCAACTTAAAATATGGTATAGTTGTGAAAATACGTAGGTACTTGGTTAAAAACATCTAAAATTATAATACTTCTAAATTTGAACTTGGCAGGTTAATTTAATTATTTAAATTATATAATATTTAAATTATATAAATATAAATAATTATATAACTAAATAATAAATTAATGATACAATTAATTAAGTGTTACGTACAGCACAAAAACCTGCCAAGTTCAAATTGAGAAGTATTATAATTTTAGATATTTTTAACCAAGAGCCTACGTATTTTCACAACTATACCATATTTTAAGTTGGGTGTAGGGTAAAGTGAATTTCGGTCAGATGGACCGTTGACGTGAATAAGGTGGCGGGTAGTGGCTGGATGTGGAAGGCAGAGGACTGGGTGTGGTGGCGAGTCTTGGGAATGGCAAATGTTTACCAGTGGATCATGCTGTTGATGAAGATGATTATGATCGATTTCAAAGTGCATCTAAACTTGGCATTAGATTGGATTTCACCCCTTTTTTAGGCAAACAATTAGCCGATTGGAACTTGGCCCCCTTTTTAACAGGCATGTTTTTGGTGAGATATTAATTACTTAAAGGGAAACATAACGCAATATCAGATATTAAAAATTTCTTTTAATTGTGTGAAGTCAGCTAAAGTAATCATACACAATTATGTTCTATATAAATAGAATTTACATGAGCAAGAAGAATGTAAATTTTCTTTTTATATTTTCAGTATTGGCATCATTACATTATTAATAGGTACCTTGAAAACTTTCTGATTTGAACTCGGTATGAACAGGATCTCTATCTTAAAAAGAGTTTCCAAAAGGCATGGATTCTCCCAAACAAATCACAACTTATATCTGTGTATCAAAAACTTATTACCTTTAACTTAACCAATAATATATAAAATTTGTGCCCTATGTATCCGCGATTACGTAATAACAAAATATAACATATTATGTATTAGTTCAAATAAAATAATATTAAAAGCTTATAGCAACTCATCTCTTGAGGGAGTGTTAGAAGCCTAAACCTCATCCAATAAAGAAAACGTACGATGAAAACATGTGTAAAATAAATTCATTATTATCATATAATTGTAAGAAAAAAATATGTTATTTAGGAATAAAATTAAGCTAAACAGGTTTTTGTAACAGCGTACAGTGTGTAGAGCGGATGAGATAACAACATATGTACAATTACGTCGTGATAAGCAGGGGTATACTATGTAGTATGTTATGGCGAGTTACTCAAGATGGTAACATTGACGTAAATATGAGAACTGGTTCACTCATAATTGGATAGCTTCATGACTATATGTGATTCAATAAATCAATGTATGAGACACAAGTCTCGTGAATTAGAGATATATATATTTGTATGTAATTATAGTTATATATTGTCATTTACTAATTGACCTTAACTTTAAACAAGTGTTTAATTTCTTACTAGAATTAAACTACGTTACTATATACAAATGTAATTTGTTTTAATTTACAAACGAATAATAACAACTATATAAAGCAACTTGTTTACTTAATGCGTATAAAAATATTGTCTCGCTTACAAGATCAAATTACTGCAACCAAGGACGATATGAAATCATTTTATTTATTAGATACGTATTTTTCTTATCTTATAATATGTATAATAATGAATGCAAGAAAAAATATTCTAAAACTCAAACTAACGTTAAAATTATTGTTACCGCGGTATCTATACATTTTGAGTTGTTAAACATTACTTAGTTACATTATTAAACAGTTCAAAATACTTT